AGAAGAAATGTGATCTCTGCCAAATAGACATTCTAAGAATGTATGTAGGGATGGATTCAATTCCAGTTTTGGACACACACAGGTGGCTCTTTGTAATGGAGACTGATCAAAATAATAGGTCCAAAAGGCTTTTTATTCTGGGATATTTAAATGTCCATATCCTAACTTTTGGTTTCATCTCTCCTTTTTTTAGCATCCTGCGTGGCAGAATTAGAAGCATAGTTCTTACTCTTTTAAACTGTAATTCTTGCATTTAATCACTGCTTTTCTTGAGGGGTTTTCAAAGCTTTTTTAAGAAGATATGTATCAAGATATTCATTATGCTGTTGGGGGAAACTAAGTTGTGGTTTGTTCTGTATAGTGTCACTAGGTGCCACTGGCAATGCGGAGCAGTCAGTGCAGCAGTGACTGCAGGAGGCACCATGACAACACCATCGTCTGCAGCAATGTGAGGCTAACAAGGGGGCACAAACCTCATGAATGGAAAACTACACCCCCCACTACTTCTGGCCCTTCCTGGCCTCAGGAACAGACAGCAAGCTGGATGACCCATGTTTGTGGGATGCATCTTTGGCATGAGTCGCATATTTGACACCTCTGCCTTTTGGGACCCCTACACTTAGGCAGCTACACTCAGCTGCAAATCCAATAAAGAATACATATTTCTTTTAAATTTTGCAGTTGTAATGGTCTAGGGCCCATTTTCTTTTCAGCACGTTGGGAATAATCTGGCAGATTTACTCAGTCTTGCTCTAAACATGTTCATCAGAAACTGGTTAAACTAGTTTTGTCACTGGAATGTTTATTTTCTTTTGCCTCTCACATCCCATTTTTCTGTAAATCATCAACTCTGCAACAGTAGCTAGAATTTATCTTTGCATGGGATACATCTTGCTGATATACTGAAACTTAAGGATTTGCTGTCTCAACTACTGTAAATTTCCATTTGTATGGGCTTCCTAAATCCCTGTTGCCAGCCTGCATTTTAGAAGTTCTGAAACACTTCTATCATATTCTTTCAGATCAGGAAGGAGGGCCACATTGCCTGTCAGAGCTTCTTAGAGGGAAAGAAGAGATTAGATTTTTCCAGAATGGGCTTTTGCTTGTGGAGTAGAAAAATGAATGGGCTCAGATTTCTGGTCACTCTACAGTATATACATAGGTCATGTTAATCAGTCTGTGCTAGCAATAATTACAAGTAACTGCAGAGCTTACAGTTTACCAGTGTAGCCTTGCATCCTGAGCAAAAGCAGATGTACTTAGACATCAGCTAGCTGTAAGCAGTAATTTCACTATGTACCCTTATGAAACACTCTCCCCCAGTTTGTGTGTGTAGTATCAGTCTCACCCCAAATACGTTATGTTCTTGATACTGTGCTTGCAAACACTGTGACGTTCTGCTGTTGCATTAGAACTTTGAAGTTAGATAAGGTAGATGAGAAACAAAATATGAAAAATAATAGTCCATTTTTATTTTCCAAATTGAAATTCGGGTTGTATGTGAGTAAACAAACAGCTGATGATGTATAGCTTCATTTTATAATTTTAATGATCCCTGGAATTAACAACTAGGAAGGTGCAAATATTTAGTGGTATTTGATGATTTTTAACTTAATGCCTAGGGGCATAAAATGTTACCTGCCAACCAAGCCAGATATCTTAAAATTTTTCATACCACACTGTACTGCATGATAACCACAGGGAAAATATTCTGTGTGTTGTAGAAGCAAACTCAAATTGGGTATTTCCTATAAGTAGATTTTGGTACCAGTTTGGAAGATAGATTTGAGGAATTTTTGTCACTGAGTGTATGAATGGCATATAGAATTACTGAGGGTTGAATGCTTCAGGGACCCTTCTCTACACAAATCATGTTTCCCTATCTGTTGTTATTTTCTTAACAAGCCAATAGCTTGTGTCAAGTATTTGAAAGATCACAACTGGCCTGGGAGCTAATTAAGCAATGATTCACATCAAGAACACCTGTCTAGACATATAAGTAGAATCCACAGGGGAAAAGTTAGCGACCATGAAGGCAACCTCAGGGGTCAGTGAACTCATCTGTAAGGTTACTGTAAAATAAAGGGAACCAATGTTCATCCATTAGGAGATGTTCACCCTTCAGGGGAGGAGGAAGAAATTCTGCTGCTAAGAAGTCCCAAGTTCTTGCAAAAATATAGATTTGAAATCGTGAGCAACAATTGGAATCTGCTTGTTAACACATGCTAATCTGTTCCACAACCACAGGGATGGTAATTCTCTATTTGCTTTATTGAACCACTAATAAATACAGGAATTTGAAACAGAACCAAGTTCAGTCTTTTTGTGTTTTCTCTAGCCCTTGTTGACATAGGATTTCATCAATGAATGGATATTTACTACTTCTAAAACGGATCTATAATGCTTAAGTGTTGGTCAGTTAGGTGTCTGTCTTTCTTGGGTTCGTACTGAATCGGTGCCCCTGGGGAGAGTTAAAGGCCATTTATACTGTAGTTGGGCTCAGACTAACTCCCACCCCGCCAAGTCTCATGTCCCTACTCCTTGTGGTATGGCACTTCGCTACTTTTGCAAGAGTGCTGTATGATAGAAGTTATCGTTTGGAGATGTTTCCTTACTTGGAATGCTGTGGAGGTTGCGAGATGGTCCTCAGGTCAGTTAGAGAGATTGAAGGACTGCAGAAGCTTGCTTACGGCTCCACGGTAAAACTTGTTCTTTTAGTTCTTCTCACCTATGTGTAGATCTTCTCATCTATTCCTATGTTTATTGAACCCAGTGATCACTGCAAGTACAAGGGTTCGTTCTTGTATGCTGACTGAATTTCTATCCATCATCACCATTAAATACTGTTTTCAAGTAGGAACAAGTTGCATTTCCCCACTTCTGGTTATCATATAGTGTTGCTCTGAATTGTTCAGCAGCTCCTGTGTTTGTACCACAAGGGTGGAAGTACTTCTACAGCTGACAAACTGATCAACGTGGATAGATTAAGGGCCTGAGCATGCAAAGAAATCCACCTGTAATGGAATCCCATGTACTTCAGGGGTTCTGCATGCAAGGCAGCTCCACTGAAGTGGAAGCCTGAGACTAAAATGGAGGACTGAGTGGAGAGCTCAAGTAGAGGACAGAGACCAAAATACATAGAGTTTCAAAGAGAAAATTGCTATAAATAAAATATTTCAAAGGCATAAAATTATGTTAACAACATTATTAATTAACACTATCCTGAAAATTGTATTCATTTTAGGTAGATAGCTTCTTTAGGCTGTGGACATGCCTTACTGCTATGTGCCTGTACTGTATTCCACTACAGAACGGTAGTTTTAAGCAGGAACTGTGGACAGAAACTGTAGCGTGGACAGCTGACATAGCACTACAGTGGGGTCTGCTGTAATGCTCTGTTCTCTCTCACTCCAGAGAGGAAGGGGAGAGTGCTTGGTTCCCTGCTAGCCTGCAGGGCCTGCTGCTGTTCTGGCCCCACACCCTTTTGCTTGGGGATCCTCCCACCACACCATGGCAGCAGGGACTAGTGGTGCTGTCTCTACAGCAGTGGTGGCAAGGAGGGCTGCCTCTTCTGTGAGGGCAGCCTAAATAGGTGCTGCCACTGGGAGCAGCAGAAGCTGTTAAACACAGCTCCCCTCCACCCACTAGGATAGTAGGGAGAGAGGAGAGCTGCTCTCCTAACCCCCTGCCATTCCTTTGGACAGAAGGGAAGATGCTTGACACTTGCTGCTCCAAGACCAGGTACTTGCCAGAAGTCCTCTTCCCTGTGGGGAGTGGGCAGAAATTCTTCTTGCACCCTTGTCAACCCTTTGGCTGGCAGGAGGGCTGTCTTTGATAGCTGTGGGGCAGCAGTTACCAGCTCATCACTGACATCTTGTCCCCCCACTTCTCCCCACTATCAGCAGGGGCGAGGGCAGGCTGTCAGTGATCAGTCTCCCTTAGGGATGGGTAGTAAAGGAGCTGCACCATATTGCACATCTCTGCTCCAGCCAGGTGGTTCTGCACACGTGTGTGGCACTGTAGGGTTTTTTTTTAGACCAACGAACTTATGTTCAGTGCCTTAATTGTGTTCTGATAATTTTTTTAGTAAAATATCGGAAGTGATGAATAGGTTGTTTAATTGCATTCTGTCAGGTTGTTATTACCCATGCTTTCTGTCTAAGTAGCAGCATTTATTAAATGAGTTTTTTAAATCTCAGTCTTTCATATAAGCAGGGTTTTTAAAAATCATATCTGTGTGGTGCTGAATCCTAGATGAAATCAAGGAGCAAGCTGATTAAGACTTAAACTGGCATACAAGGGAGTATTAATGAAAATTAGTCTGATTCTCACTTTGATGTTGTGCAGGTGAAGAAAAGTTTTAGATATTCCTTGAGATAATGCTATAGATTTCACTATTACCTGACTCATTTCAAACCAGTAACTCATGGAAACTATACATTCTTAGTTCTTATCTCATATAGCCATTGCCTACTATATTGTAAATCATTATTGTTGTTAACCTGATTATCTCATATTAACTTACATCCATGGTGGTTATAAATAGCTGCAGAGCCAAATGAATGACAGTGCTAGACTAGTAATGCTTGATTCCTACCTTCATGGAACTCCTAACTCCGTCTCATCTGAGACTATACTTTTATTTCTGCTTGCTTTTCCTCTTGTTCTTGTGTTATTTCAAAGCTTTCCTTTTTCTTTCCTCCACTCTTGCCTTTTCTGTGTAACACTTATAACTGCTTCTTTTTTAATGCACCAATAACTTCACTCTTCTTCAAAACTCTTCCTTGAAAATTTCATAAGGTCAGGTTCTCTCTGAAGTGCCATCTTCTGTTCCATTTCAGTCTGAATGATGTCACCTCTTTCTGAATGTTAAGGTTAGCTACTCAGGACATGGACTGCATCACCTTATGTGGGACAAGCACTGGTTGTACTTGTTTAAAAATAAATCTATCCATCATTAGAGAGCTTTAAATGCATTTCATTGTTTTGCCTCTTTTTAGACCCAGTCCATGTTGAAGCACCAGAAGTTGCAAGGCGCAAAGAAGAGCAGGAGGAGCCTGACTTCTTTACCAAATATTTTAGTGTTGTATGGTGTAAAGCTTCAAAGAAAAAACACAAGAAGTGGGAAGGTGATGCTGTTCTTATTGCAAAAGGGAAGTCTCTGGTGCTGAAAGACATGGAAGGAAAAAACATTGGAAAAGGTATTTTACACTGTACACATTTGTAACTTAGTATTGGCCTAAAGTAAATGTGTGCTTGAATAAAGTGAAATTAGGCTGTTTGCTGTGGAGGAGTGGCTTGTAACCAGGGAGAAATGCATCAGTGATCATCAGGCTTAAGGCTGAGCTTCTGTTTGAACGTATTTCATGTTAATGTTCTTGTCACAGGTCTTGGAGTAACTGAGATTATGATAATATTTTCAACCACTTAACTGTAGTTGAAAAATAGACTCAAAGGGAAGAGTTAATTTTTCCAGCCAATCCAAAATCAACAGAATAGCAATTTTGAGTCTTACAATCTTAGCAGATGTTAAGCTAGAAGACTTTGATTTGATATTGAGTTAAAATAAAGCAGAGCGGTAAAGGCTGTAGTCACTTAGCTCAAGGGCAGTTATTTTTGCCTGCAAGGCAAGAAACAATTTAATTTGCTAAGCCAAAGCAATCTATTTAGGAAGAAACTGGTTTAATGTGTTGCTACAAACCCAATTTGGTTTGATTTTAGTGCAGAAATGTCTGTCCTTTAATATTTTGTTAGAGTCCTAACATTGCAAACTTTGCTGCCACTACCAGGGCCAAGCAATTTGATTTGCACATCAATCCTGAACATACAAACCAATTTAAATTAATTTATATCAAAGCTCTGTCTGTACAGATAAGCTTAGTTTAAGGCGTGGGGAGAGAAGTGACTGAAGTGTATCGAGAAAGAGGTTAGTTTGAAGTCAGGCAGAAGGCAAGGTACCTTATAGACTAACTAAATCAGATGCATAGCATAAGCTTTGAGTAACATAAGCCACTGCTGACAAAAGCTTCTGCTATACACCTGTAGTTTAGTTAACTTGTAAGGTGCAAATCTACCCTGGCTTCTGTCTGAAATGTATCAAACCACTCTGCTGAGTATTTTCTGTTGAAGTCCTGTTGTTAGATCAGTAACACTTAAATAGCTGTAAAGCACAGGGTCTACAGCAGTGGGGCCAACCTTTTCAGCAGGCATGCAACAAATTAGCTCTGCACTTGCCTTAAGTGCCACTCCTATCCTTTTCCTTTACCTGATCTCCTGGTCAGCCTTCTGCTCTCTACTTAGAGCTGTGTGAAGCTTTAGTAGCCAATTTGATTTGGAGGAGATTTGGCCTGATTTTGCGACTGAATCTCCAAATTGAATTGGGGAATTCGGAAGGCTTGCAGGAAACAGAAACTGAGAAGGGATTAGGTGATTTTCTATATATGGAAAGTCTGAGAGGTGGGGAAAGACTGCTCTGATATTGACATCTGTAGCTGGCCAGTGACTGTGATCTTGCTCCGAGTTCCCTTCCAATCACAGTGCTCTCGGGAAGGGATGTAGAAACAAAATATAAAGCTGTGTCTGGAGTGATTTGTGCCTATTGTGACCTGTCTCTCTCTTGGAGCAGCAGCGTCTGAAAGGCGTCTCTTGCTAGCTAGTCTCTCTTATAAATTGTATCCAATCCTTTCCTACTTACACTTGCCTACAATCCCTATTGTTATCCCTGTTCATTCCTTTCAACTTATTCTTCCCCCAAAATCCTTATATTTGTTCTTGTTAGTTTGCCTTGATTCTTTCCCCCCACAAAAAGAAATCTGTGTTTTTCCTGACAGTATGCTACAACTGTGCAGGAAAGCACAACATATATTACACACACACATTTTGCATCACGCCAAACATTATGAAGCATGCTGGAAAGACAGGTGCCAGATCTTCTGGTGGGGGGTTGAGGGGGCAAAGGGAGAGCTGTAAGTTCCCTCCCACCCCAAATATAGACACATCCTTTTTCTGGGCAGCAATGAGTCTTCTGCTGCTAGTGAGAGCAAGGAGGTGCTAGCAGTACCTGCACCTGCACCACCACCACTAACACCACTAACCAGCAGCAGCATGACATTCTCCACCCCAGTTTCAGTTCCCAGCATGAGCCTCTCAGTGCCAAAGGAGGAGCTAGATCTGGAAGCAGAGGAGCTGAGGGCCATAGCAAAGGAAGTTCTGGGGAAGGAGAGAGAATCTGAGTTTGTGCGCCACACCCATCAAAGTTCCCCTAGAGGCAGGTCTCCTTCTCTGGAAGGCACTTCAGAGGAGGTTGTGGGGGCGGGTTGCTCAGCTGCTCCTGTTGTTGTGCCTCTGCCTGTTGAGGAGGGGGATAAGGCAGGATCCCCACCCTCAACCCAGAAGCGGGTACATAGTGTAGTGTGGGATCATTTTGAGGTGGCACATGATCCCAGGCATGCTACCTGCCAGCACTGCCAAAGGCAGATCAGCTGCGGCAAGACATGAAACACCTCACCGCCACAGCAATGCTGCTGCATCTCAGGAGGCAGCACCCCCTTGCCCTTGTTCTTCCTCAGCCTGGCACCAGTGGGAGCATGCCCAAAAAGAAGTCCCCCTCTCGCTTCAAAGCCCCTGTCCCCAAGAACGCTCCATCCACCTCACCATCCACCTCACCATCTCAGTGTTCACAAGCCGCCCGGTACCTTGAGGTATGTAGAAAAAACATATAAAGCTGTGTCTATGTCCAAATTGCTGAATCTCTCCAAATCGAATCGAGAGATGACTGGGTTTCTTAATTTGATTCGGATTTAGAGATTCGGCTGCTGAATTGGGCCAAATCTCCTCTGAATCGAATCGGCAACTGAAGGTTTGCACAGCCTTATTGCCTACCCCTGCACTAGTTTGTTATATATAAAGTGGGACCACCATTACCTCCTCTTCTAGTTGATTCTTGATTGCTGGCACTGTGTTTTGTGAGGATAGTATAGTGTGTGTGTTGAGCATGCTCTAACAGTGCCTACCAGATCAAGCCTTTCAGGAACTGTAGGTAAAGGAATACCTAGTTTTTGAACCCTAATCAGTTTTAGAGGCAAGTTAGGCTGCTCAGCCTTGTCAGCTCTGAAGCACTTTTGTGAGTGTGTGCAAGTTGAACTTCAAAGCACAGGGAATCTTAGGCTCCTCTGTTTGTGACTTTCTAGAGTTCAGGTGCCTCCAAGATGAGGTAGCAGCTGAGCAGAGATGTTGAGGATCACAAGTTTGGACTTAAGCACCTACATTCCACCTAAACCTTTTCCTGGATCTAAGCTCAAATTGGCATAAGAGTACAAGTCCTACTGACTCCTAGGTTGTCTAATCGCCAGCGTACATCTCTTTCAGGATGTTCTTAATGAAAACTCTGCTCTCTGTCCTTTAGCACAAGGCTGTATATCGGCGGTCCTCAGCCTTTCCAGACTCAAGGAACTCCTTCAGAACTTTTCAGAATTTACTGGCACCCTATCAAAAGACTAATATAAATATATCTTGAATATGATAATATATACATAATCCTAGTATTTAATTAATACATTATAAACACCTTGGACAGTCTGGGATGTATGGCTAGCAGGGACAAGATGCTGAGCTGCATATGCAGATCATAGGAAATGCTGAGAGGGTGAGAGGAAGATGGAGTGGGTAAAAGGGCACATGAGGCCTGGGGAGGTAGTAGCGGAGCTGGCCAAGGGAGTACCACAGTGTGGTCACTGCTACCACCACTGAGGCCAGGTGGATTTGCTCTGTGTACCTACTTCCTGCAGAGCCAGATCAGAAAGCAGCTGTTGCAGGACCACATGCTTTTGCTGCAGCCCTTCCTAATCTGACCCTGCATAGCATCTGCCAGAAACAGAGGCATGTGTTTGCTCTTTGGAGCTGAACTGAGAAGCAGCTGCAGGCATGCTTGCCTGCATTATGTTGTGCAGCAGGCAGGCAAACTGCTGCAACTCCTCCTTGTTTGGCTCCCATGTGCCTCCTGAAAATGGAGGTGCATGGGGCAGTTCCAACTGGTGGTAGCAGCAGCCTGTAGATAGATGCCACTGCCACCAGGTAGACACACTGCCCTATGTGTCTCTGATTTCAGAAAGCACATTGGAGCTCAACCGGAAAGATTTGCAGCAGAATCAGCATGCCTTCCTACTTAACACCTTTCTCCTGCTTTTGCTCCTCAGTTTGGCTCCAATATGCTCCCAGAAGGGAGAGGCACTTAAGACAGTTGTACCCTGTGGTAGTGGTGATGGTGCAATGCCCCTGGCAGGTTCTTGCAGCATCCCAGGGTGCCATGGCATCCCAGCTGAGAACTACTACAGTAAACAGCTGTTGCATTTCTCCCAGGAGAAAGCCTTTTGTCCTGAGATCCTACAGATGTTCACACCTGTTGTCCCATTTCAAGTACTTGTGGAGTATGCTATATAAAGTGTGCTAACAGCCCTCTTTCCCTCCCCTCTCCCTACCCCCCCTACACAAAAATACAGCACTATGTGTATAAGTTATTTGCAGTTCATTTAATTAAATTGGAGTTAATTCCAGGGACAGGCCTGTCAGGCTGTATGCTCTCCTTTGCCACCTATTGGCAGTGGAGCATCAATGCCTCTTGGAAGGGGGCTACATATTTAAAGGGACATACTGCTCTTCTACTGAGTCAAAACCAAGAACAACCAGACCTGCTTTATGAGACATCTGTTTACACCCTGAGTAGTAGAATGTGGATTTTCTACAGTGAGCTTGAAACAAGCCTATAAAGGGAAGCCCTCTATCTCAAAATTAGATCAAAGGGAGCTTACTTTATTGGACAGGGCTCTGCATATCTAGTACAGTGGTTCTCAACCTTTTTTGTACTGGAACCCATTTGCCAAGGTTGATGACTTGTCCCAACCCACACCCCCCTGCCCTGATGGTGCTCGACACGCAGCCCCTTGCCCCCCCAGCCCTGCCAAAGGGGACCCCCAGTTGTCTCCATCCCACTCGGGCTGGAGCACAGTCACTGCAGTAACTCTGGCTCATATGGGTGACAGCAGAGCAAGTCCAGCCCAGCACGGGCTGGAGGCAGGAGAAGGGCAGGTCTGTGGTACACCTGCCCTGGCCAGGGGCTCCCGCACCACGCCAGGCAGCTGGTCATGGCCCCTCCCACCCCCTGAGCAGCATCTCCCAGCCACCCTGCCCCCATGAGCAAAGGCAC